TGCTCCATTTGTGTTTACTGATTGCACCCCTTACTAGGCTGCAGAATTTTGGGGTTTGAAAATTGCAGCTTATATTTTATTGTTATTAGGTGGGAGGGGTGCATGACACAGCTACTAACAGGCTTGCCTATCTCTTAATTGGTCACTGGTTTCAAGCCCCTGGATTTTTATATATAAAATTACCAAGACTCACAATTTCTTCTGCATCTTCTTTTCTTTCTCTTGTTGCTTAGGGTAGAGTTTCTCAGAATTAAAAGGATGCATAAAAAAAAAACGCAATTTGGAAAAAGACCTTTAAAAAATTTTTTTTAAAGATTCTTCAGGGTTGAAAGGGGTACATACTAAAGGAGCTTATATGTGATGAGAATTTACCTGCTATAATTTGTTTAGTTCATTGTGTACCAGTCATTTCACCTTGTGTTTTACAATTACTTTATTGGAGGTATATTTTTCAGTTTTCTTTACTATTTCAATCCCAGACAGTTGTAAGACTTTCTTCTTCTTTTCATTACAAACTTTTCTATTTCTCCTTATTACAACAAATTTCCCCAAATCACATACACGTGTGCGCACACACACACACACATAATACTCACAACCACACACATGCATATTCACTCCCACAATACATACATATGCACACATACATACATGCATACACACACACACATACATACTCACACACATAAATACATACACACATACATACTCACACACACACATAAATACATACATACATACTCACATACACATAAATACATACATACATACTCACACACACATAAATACACACACACATACATACTCACATACACTTACATACTCACACACACATAAAACTCACATACTTAAATACATACAAACACATGTACACACACACACATACATTCTTTGTCACACATACATACTTTCTCACATATATGCTGACACACATACATACTGTCACACATACATACTCTCTCACACATACATACTGTCACACATACATACTCTCTCACACATACATACTCTGTCTCACATAGATACTCTGTTACACATACATACTCTCTCACACATATGCTGACACACATACATACTGTCACACATACATACTCTCTCACACAAATGCTGACACACATACATACTCTGTTACACATACATACTCTCACGCATGCACATACTCACATACATACATATACATACATACATACACATAAACACACACACATATTCCTCTTCCTTTCCTTTCCTGTTAATACAAGACTGGTTATGTTAAACCTGTTGCAGACGGTTATTTGAATTCTGTCTATAACATTGAATGATGGTTGAATCTTTGTCCGTCAGCATTCCTTCAAGATGGATCCGACAACAATTATTACTGATGAGATGTTGGAGGAAGAGAAAAGGTTACATGCCCAGGCAGAGGAGCAGGAGAAAAAGAGGAAAGAATCCCAAGCAGAGGTGAGATTCATGTGGCAAAGCCAGAATTACAACTTGCAGTGGTGTTATCATTGTATAATAATCAGTTAACGGATAAATTATATTGTCTGTGTTTTCATGATTGTTCACTCTGATTCACACTGGGACTTCCATGTTAGTGTTGGTTACTAATCTTCTAGAAGACTTGAGTTTTAACTCTTTCAGTCTGATGGACTGTTATTCAGGTCACACAGCACTTCTTCATTTGCATTTGCCCTTAGAAGGGCGGTTGGCCATTATGTTTTGCTAGGTGGACTGTTGCGATGAGCTAGGTTGCGATGTCTGCACCTTTTGGCTCAACAGTTTCAATTTCAGCAAATCCCTAATTAGTCAATTTTATGACCTGTGTTTTTGTATGCGGGCAGAGGATCTGCTCTTGTTTTCCCTCTGGAACCACAAGGGAATTCAGAGCCTTGAAAGGGACGATTCTCTCAGAGTAAGGCTGGTGGAAAGGCATGCATCCCCACCTGGGACCAAAGTACCATCTCCACAGGGTTTGTGCTAATGAGCTCTGCTTTTCTTCTACAAGGCCAGACACCAGGGGGGTATGCAAGGCTTGTACTGGAAGCTCACATCTATGATGATTAAAATAACGTGGGACCAGGCCGTAATTCAACATAGCACATACTGCCTAGCTTTCATTAAACTTGAGTTGGTAATGATTCCTAGATATTCCTTAGTTAAGAAATTGAAACTCAGTCCCCAAACTTCACTTCTCATGCTTAATTTTTCTCAGAAAATATGTTTGAAGAAAAAATTGAAGATATCGTCGAAACTATAAGAACACAACTGCACAGGGCAGATAATAATGGGTTGATAATAATTCGTAGATATGTTTTAGTGAAGAGATTCAGACTTATATCCCCAAACTTCACTCCTGGCAGTTAATTTTTCTCAGAAAAATTTGTTTGAAAAAAAAAAAACGATTAGAAATTATCATTCAAATTATAAGAACACAACTGCAATGGGCAGAATCTTCTTCTTCTTCTTCACGTTCACCAGCTGTAAACTCTGGGAGAAAGTTCTGGTTGTTCATCCACTTTAGGACTGCAGTTCTGTTTCAGAACCTGAGTGTTGTGTGTGTGCATCCATTTTACAGACCTGACTCATTTGTATGCAGACTGCTGGTTCCATGCCTCTCAGGCAGATGCACTCCGACTTTGAAGGAAGCTCCCGATTAGTCGACTCTTACGACATGCTTTTGGGTAGGCAGGGGGTCTATTCTTTCCCCCCCTAAAATAGGGCCCTGAACCCACATGTGGAAGGGCAGAATTAACAACGCAGTTGTGTGTGCCTAACATGCCATTGGTACACTGCAAACTTCTGCAGAATTTAAACGGTATGTTCCGGGCAAGAGAGACAGAAAGAATAGATCTACTGCCCCCTAACAGGCATGTCGTGCAAGACGGCTGATGAATTTAATTAACTTGTAATGTTGCTGTTTTCCAGCTGTTGAACCAGTTGTCAGACCAGACACAGGAGATGCATTATGAAAGACTCAAGTATCTTCTGAACAAGAGCGCTTTGTATACAGAGTACCTGGTGAGTCGAATTAAGAAACAGAAGGAGGAGGAGGAGAAGAGGCGGGCAAGAATCCTCGCTAAAGCTGCACGATCAGAGCAGGATGAAAAACAGAAGAAAGAAGCTGCAGAGAGAGAAAAAGATGTGCAGAGTCAGAAAGATGAGGGGCAGAGTAGAGGAAAGACTGGTGGTGGATCTACAGAAGTGATGGACAGGAATGGCCAGGTACTGTTTATTTTATTATTACATTTTTCTTATGTGTCTAAAAATAAATACTATTACAAATATTGTCTGTTGGCTGGGTTTCATATATTAGAGATATTCCTAAATGCTGTTGAGGTTTCTTCGTATTTCACATTTTCTGGGGTATTACAGTTTTCTGAATGGGTATGATCGGGTCGCTTCCTTCCCGTGGGGGATACAGGGCCTCATTTGGGGAGGAGGGGGGGGGGGGGGGGGAATAGACCCACTGTCCCCCCAACATGTATGTTGTAAAAGGCGACTGACTAATTAGGGGTGTTTCCTTTGAAGTTGGAGTTCATCTGACTGAGAGGCGAGGGACCAACTCTCCGCATACCTGTTAACGAGACACAAGGTTAATGGCTGTTGGGCTGTTTTTGCACCTGCGCAGAAGTTTAGGGGGTCAGGATGTAAATACATTAATTTAAAGTCAATGAGCCAAATGGCTTTTTTGGGTAAAGTTGGTGTCAACCCCCCCTAAGCCTCAGTGGTAGAGGTCGTGGGGTCACGGCATAAGTCGCTCAATACATATGTTTTGTTTTTTTAGACCCAGAGGAATGTGTTCCATTTATTGCTTCGCCATGTTCAGATTTATTGATTACTCCTTTTACATAACTTTATATATTTCAAAATATAAAAATTAAAATGGAGACAAATAAATTAAGAATTTATTAGTGGGGTCTGTAAAATTGTTCGTTTTAAAGGATGGTTTTCAGGAATTCGGCTGGGGTCATGAGGGAGTGTCAGTAAAGTAATTGTTAAGACAAACTATAGACCCACTGTTCCTCAGCAGGCGTCATAAAAGGCTCATTGGGTTTTTTCTGAATTTGCATGTATCATAATGAGGCTGGCTGGAGAGTATAGCAGCAGTTGTGTAGATGGTTAGAGATTATAGCATACGTCACAGATAATTCATACTTAGCATAATTTATAGACAAAAGACCGGGCAGTAAATCTTTAGCCAGATTTAGTTTGAGGAGATTCCCCACAAAAAGTCGTGATAGGCAAATAATTTGAAGTTCACATTCAAGAGTGAACAATGTGAACAGAGTTACATGCAGGGAACAGGAAGAGTAGCTCAGGCAGAGAGGAAGTGAGGTCAGTCTCTGTTTGGCATTGCACTTAAAAGTATGGGAGAGAGTTTGTGAGAGTCTAAAACCCAATGTATCCAGCTGCTGCAGTAATCACAAATACCTGGTTAAGTGTTGTCAAGATGGAAGCTTGCGGAGTGACAGTCAGCTACGTTGGTTTGTTCGAGTACGCGTATTCTGCTTGAAGTGAGCCCACTAGCAGTTGTCGACAAAACTGGGACGTATGCAGAATGGATTGTCAGTGAGTAAGTTTGTGTAGAGATAGTGGAGCTGATTGCTCAGGCCTATGTAATTATTTTAGCGACAGAGGTCAGAATTAATGTAGTCTGGAGCAGAGAATAAACTCATCATTTTGTCTAGTGTGTTCCAGTCAGTATGTTATCAGTTCCTGCATATACTTAACTGTTGTTGATCCTGGGAAATTTCAAGTCCCGCCCCACTGCAATGCCCTGCTGACAACCCAAGCAGAGTCATTGCAAGTGTTGGGCTGAAAGATATAGATATCAGAGCCCAGCTGTAAACTGCAGCACAGTTTGCCAACTGCCCTTTCAAGGGTGAACACAGAAGAAGTAGTGTTATAGCTCAAACAAATTATAAAACATTCAGTTACAAACCCCTTAAAAAAAAATGATTTTTATGTTAGCTAGACTTCGAAACTGATTTGTTGTGATTCATTGATAGGAAAACCAGAGGCGACCGTGTCGGACAAGAGGCAGCAACAAAAGACAGATAACTAAGACAGACAAATCTGGGTCAGTTCAGGAGTCTAAGGTGTGTTGTATTTAAGAACTGGATTGAGCAGTTACAATTTATAGAAACATAGTAACATAGAAGGTAATGTTTATTGGTATATAATGTCAGATCACATATGTGATAGTTGTTGATTATGGTGACCTTTTGACAACTTTAGGAAACTGAACACATACATGTTTGGGATCTCAAAGTCATTAAAACAAAAATTATTAAAAAATGGTAAACAGGTGGCAGTTTCAGTTTGAACTAGAAAATGCAAGAATTAAAAGAAAATTGAAAGGCGAATAATTAAGTTATTTGGGAAATAAATGGTTGCCCGTGTGTTGCCGAGGTCCTCACAAAAAGCACAGAATAGTAACATTGCCCCCTACCAGGTGTGTCGTCAGAGGCAGCTAAGGTTGGGATTGGGATTGACTACCTCATCATGTAAAAAACAATAGCCACAACAACCACCCAACAGTGGAAACATAAACAAAAAAAAAGAAATGAGAAAAACCCAGCCAAATAAGATGAGGGGGAGCTCTTCTATTAGAAGAATGATGACACCATGTGGAGAAATCTAAAAGTAGTCTGGGTCGTCGACATAGCTCTTTTCATCTAGGAAAATCTCCAGAATTGGCACCTGAAATGTTTGAACTTTGTAGACATGGGCAAGGGAGCTGGAGAGTAGAGAGGACATAAGGGAGGGGGTTAGCTCAATGCTTAGCAAAGAATAGAACGACTTGGTGTGAGTTAGTTGTGGGCCTGTGCTCCATTGGGGGGTAGAAGACAGAAGAAGGATATAAATGGCATGTATTGTTGGAGCAAACCTGACATCCCCCATATTGTGCCAACAGCTTCGGGCGGAGGAGCACATTGGGGAGGATACTAGCCTTATCCTCGGAAGAGGAATTGCCACCTGAAAACTTTGTGTTATGACAGGGCAGATCAGGTCCTTAGCCTTGGCTGGCAGCTGGTCTAGGAGGAAATCTCCGGCAGGCAGAGCACTGCTCTTTTGATCTGGCAGCTTCTGCAGCCTGCTTTGTTCCAAACGTACTAGTGTTACCTTGCCTTTGGAGTGAACAAGGCATGTCAAGAAAGGGATCATGATGTATGAGCAACATATGGTCTTTACAATACTGCCCAGGCTCAGTGCTATGGCGAGCACGAACTTCGCCCCTGGTAGTAATTTTGTCTCGGAAACAGCTGATCCATGCTGTAAATGTGGCTGACAATCAGCAACAAGAAGACAAAGGTTATGGTGTAAGGTGTTAATGCAGTCTACATTGACGGTGAAGAGCTGGAGATGGTTGAACATTTTTCCTATCTGGGATCCACAGTGTATCACAAACTGTTGCTGGACCAAGAAAGGTAAGGCAGCAACAGCAATGAGCAGATTAACAAAAAGAGTTTGGGAGAACAGAAAGCTCACAATTAAAACAAAAACCCTTGTCTTTTAGGCTTGTGTTCTCAGCACTCTGCTTTATGGCAGTGAAACTTGGTCAACTTATTCGCACCAGAAGAGACGGCTAAATAGCTTTCACATGCGATACCTAAGAAGAATACTTGGCATTAAGTGGCAGAACAAGATCACAAACACTGAGGTATTGGAAAGAGAAAGCATTACAACAGTCTTCTCAGTGCTCAATCTATGAAGGCTGAGGTGGTTTGGTCACACCTGGAGAATGGAGGATGGCAGAGTCCCTAAGGACATCCTTTATGGGGAATTAAAGACAGGTAGACGATGTAGAGGCCAACCTCTACTACAGTACAGTATAAAGATGCATGCAAGCGGGACAGGAATGATACAGGTATTGAGGTAGACAGAACATGATGCCATGGACTGTGTTGTGTGGAGTGGGGAATGAGAATGAAGGAAGAAATGATTGCAGAAAGTATGAGAGCTGAGCATTTGAGAAAAAACAGACTAAACAAATGTTGACAACAGTGGTCATGTAATCCCATGCTATAATTGTGGAAGACTTTTAATTTACGCTTGCGGGTCTTGCAAGTCACACTGGACATCACCATGGGCTGTGTGTTCAATCCCTCCTTATATAGCACAATATAACACTGTCATCTGGAAAGACGTAAAGGTGCCAATCATTGTTGGAGCCCAGTAATGACATCTGCCATATCTCCATGTGGGTTTCAAGGGCTTTGTCATGTTGGGGAAGAGAGCAGATCCACTGTCCCGGTAACTAGCATATCGTTCAAGTGTACTACTCAGGGATCTTTCCTTCACATTCCGGCTGCCTCTGCCTGTGAGTCAGCTGTCTGCACACAGATAAGATAGATCTTTAACATGGATGTGTATGCACAAAGCATGAGTTCTGAAACAAAACTAAAGTGAACAAACAATCAGAACTCTCTGCCAGAGTTTACAACTGATGATCATGATAAGGAAGAAGAAAACACCTATCAAAGCTGAAGTGATCTCATTGTCCAAGCCATGTCGGTATATGCGGAAATAAAAAGGTCATCTGTCATGTGTGGGAAGAAGGGGAAAAGGAGGTGGAGGAACCCATGTTGGTTTCCGGAGCCATATTTTGAGGAGTGGTTTGGGGGGGGGGGGGGGGCGTTGAGAATGGACCTAAGACCTCCCTAACAAGCATGTCCTAAAAGATAACTAATTAGGGATTTGCAGAAATAGATGTGTTTGGCCAGAGGCCCGATGGAACAGCCTAGCTGTAAACTCAACCCAATGTGCCCACACAGTAGAAGGTGGTAAAGTGTAGAGATTAATTGAAATAATATTTTGAATCTGTGAATGTATACTGAATTTTAACGGGTTCTTTCTGCAGGCTAAACGACAGAAACAGTTAGAAACCTCACCTGTACCACCAGTTGTCACTGATAAACAGGTAAGTGGAGAATTACCAACAGCTGTGCTGGAGATGTCAGTAGTTAGTATTGTAACTTGTTGATCATGATCCTGTCAGCTTCTGATGCCTCTGTTAACCTACTGGTTGCAGAGAAAGTCTGGTAACACATCTTTGAAGATAACGGAATATACACAAGACGAGCAGTTGTGTTTGTGCTGTGCTGGCTACAAACTACCACATAGTCATTATGCCTATTTCTTCTTCTTCTTCTTCTCCTCCTTATTCCAGTTGCTCAGAAAATATTATCTGTATGTGCATTGTTTTCTTTTGTTTAAATTTCCATTTTTTAGTTCATAATAAACCTACGTATTTTTATTTCCCCCGTTATTTTATTGTCCATATTAAAGAGATGTTTGTTTTTCAAGTGATATCATTGTCATAATTTTGCGTGTGTCCTTGACAGATTTCCATTTCTTAAAATCATCCCCAATTATTTGTGCAGGATTTGACAGAGCCTACAGAAGACACACACCTGGGTCCATCACCAAGAGAACCAGGTCAAGAGGGCACTTTAATAACAAATGGTCTGTCTGAGGAACCAGAGCTGATAGAGAAAGCCAAAACATTTGGTGTCGTTGAGGTGAGTCTGACCCACCAGACGTGCACAGTAATGAACTGTCAGAGAAAAGAACATTGACTCAATGGAGAGTGGGTGTTTTGAATCAGTCAGTTCATGTTTTTCTGTCATGATTGATTGTTTGGCACCTTTCCGTCTTTCCAGACAACAGTGTTATATTTATGTCATGCTATGAGTAGACCTGGGATTCACCTGCCTGTGGTGATGGCGAGTTTTACTAGCAAATCCCACGTGCATTAAGAAAAGTCTGCCACAATAAAAGTATGAGATTTCAGGACCATTGTCAACATTTGTGTTTAGTGTGTTTCTTTCTTTCCAGACACTCTACTCTGATCCTGTCTGCAATAGTTTCTTCCTTCATTCTCATTCCCTTCTTGCTGTGACCCCTCCAGACAACACGGTCCATGACATCTTGTTCCTAGTGCACCTCATTTATATCCATGTTGCACACATCTTTATATCCTAGTAGAGGTTGGCTTTGACATCTTCTACCCATCTTTAATTCGCCATAGAGAATGTCCTTGGAGACCCCATCCTCCGTTCTCCAATGTGACCCAGCCACATGAGCCTGCGTAGTCTGAGCATTGTAAAAAATTTTCTAATACCTGTTCCTTCCAGTACCTCAATGTTTGCGATCTTGTCCTGCCACTTAATGCCAAGTATTCGTCTTGGGCATCGCATGGGAAAGCTGTTTAACCATCTATCCTGTCTTTCTGTTCTCCCAAACTCTTTTTGTTAAACTGCTGATTGTTGTTGCTGCCTTACCTGTCCTGGTGGTTTAGCGATAGGTTGTTATTCACTGTGTATTCTAGATAGGTAAAATGGTCAACTGTCTCCAGCTCTTCGGCATCAATGTAGACTACAGGTCTATCATTAGCACCTAGCACCATAACCTTTGTCTTCTTTTTGCTGACTGTTAGTTCAGATTCGCAGCATGCATCATCATATGCAGACAGTGAACATTGCAGCTCCTTCTCTGAGTGGGTGGTAATTGCTGCATCATCTTCAAACAGCAGCTCTCTGATAAGTACATTTCTTATCCTGGTTTTGGCCTTCAGCCGACGAGCATTGTAAAGGCTGCCATGAGATCGAGAGTGGATGAATGTACCACCCTCCTGATCTCTGAAGGCATGTTTCAGAAGAAGAAGAATATTTCAAAGAGGGTTGGAGCAAGTACACAGCTCTTCTTTGCTCCACTGTTGATTACAAACTCCTCCGATATTACAACATCAAAGTTGATTGTACCTTTCATACCTGTGTGGAACAACTCAATAATGCTTAGTAGGGTATGTGGACACCCAATGCCTCAGCGTGTTGAACAGACTTTTTCAGCTAACCAAATCAAATGCCTTGGTAAGATCAATAATAGCAACATATAATGGTTGATTTTGTTCATGACATTTTTCCTGCAACTGTTGTAATGAAAATATATCAGTCGTAGACCGGGTCCCATGGACGCCACACTGGGACTCTGGTTAGACATGGTCTTCTAGGATCTAGAGTCTTCGCAGAACAATACTTTTTTCTAACAGTACACAGCAGTGATATTCACCTTGTAGTTATTGCAGTAACTTCGATCACCCTTGTTCTTGTACATAGTTATAGTTTCAGGTCTTTAGGAACCTGTCTGTCAGGCCAGTAGAGTGTAATTAGCTGATGAATGTGTGGGGTTAGAATATCTTTCCAACTCCTGATGATTTCAGAAGGAATTATATCTCTGCCGGGGGTCTTCCCCGATGCCAGTTCATGCATTCCTAACTTCAACAATTGTTGGAAATATATCCAGATAGTCAAGAGTTGGTAGCATCTTCGTGGCATTAAGAGCACCATTTGTTAGTGTAGTCTCAACTGAATACAGCTCCTGATAATGTTCCACCCATCTATCTGACTGCTGCTTCTTGTCGGTAATACTCTCCCCATTCAAATTCTTTAGTGGTGCACTTGTTCAAAATAGTTGGGCAGATTGTCTTCTGTATCCCCTCGAACATGCGTCTAATATTGCCACTATTGCTAGCATTTTGAGTGCTTCAGCGTAATAGGATCCAGTAGTTGTTGGCACACTACCTAGCTACCTTTTGCAAATGATTTCTAGCTTTTCTCAATTCACTGAGTGTTCCTTGTTGTTCTGTCCTTGTTTGTGAGGAATATTAACTTTTTGCTGTCAATTAAGGGTGGAGTTTCTGGCTATTTGCTTCAAACCAGTCCTCACTTCTGTGTTCTCTAATCCCATAGACTAGCTGCTACACCACTGTGGCTGCTTTATTCAGTATAGTAAAAAAAAGTAAAGTTCCCTTTTCACGCCTTTCGGCGCATCGGGCATATGGGCAGAGCGTCCCATATTTTTACAGACCATCAGCACTCTGTGGGTAATGTGGTCAGCATTACGCCGGCTGTCTTTACTTTCCCAGGACAGCCCATCCTGGTACCAATTTTAGGCTGGGTCGACCTGCGACGTCCCCATACCACGACAAAATTCCACGCAGCCTTATTCAGTATAGTAAATAATTAATAAGATTTATTCTGTATTGCGTATAATTGTATATTCATGCACATGGCATTTACTCTGTATAGCGGACAATGTATTACCTGACTTCTGGTGAAAAGGTTAGATAAGGAATTTGTGAGTATTACGTAGAAACATCTTCTACATGCAGTGATAAAACATGTTCATTGTCAGGTCTAGTGTGTTATGATTACATTTAACCCTGAAACTGTTTCTGCTTGTCACGTCCAGCAGGAGACTGAGGAGAGACGTGTCATCAATGGAGAAGAAGTTTCATTCCTGCAGCCCAAGCTCCTGGATGGTGGGGTGTTGAGAGCATACCAGCTGGAGGGCTACAGCTGGCTCAAGGTGCTGACTTTACCCGCACATGTGATTGTAACTGACGTTTTTGTGTGTGCAGTCATTTTATTTAAAACTCAGTAACACCGAAGTACAGAATTTGTTGTTGTTGAATCAACATGTTATCAGCATCAGACATGGACATTGACAACAAAGGACAAGAGAAAAATTTAAATAACAGAAATGAAATGTCTGCGGAGAATCCTATATGTAACTACAAGAGACGGGATCAGAATTGACGATATCAGGAAAGAAGTTGGGACAGAACCAGTATTAAACTATATCAAGAGAAAACAGATCAAGTGGTTTCGACCTGTGTCAAGACTGCCACCAGATGGTGCACCAGAGAGCCCTGTCACTTGGACATAATGGAAGTCTAGCCAGAGGTTGACCATGCAAATGATGGATAGATGTACTATCCGATACCATAAATACAAGCACATACAAAGGCTGTGACCTGATGCCTCTTTAAAACCTGATTCTGAAAAGCAGTACAGGACTAAAGGGGTGAACCTCTATCCTCCCCTGAGATGCTGCTGACCCGGTACATCGCCATCTGTGGCCCACCCCAGCAAAGACATTAAACCAGCATTGCTTCATTGGCCAGTTCCTGATAAGTCTAGTTAACGGCATTGGTTCTGTTGGCGCCTGCCCAGTGTTTGGGAGGGCTGCATATGATTATTTTTACTAAAAGTAACATTTGTTTATTGTTGAATTTTTGTTTTGTCATTATGATGTCATTATTTAACTTTAGCCCTAAGCAGTTGCATAACCACCAGGTGATAGGGCCACAGTATGAACCACTATATACTTTTACTTAGGACCAAGTTAACAAAATTGTTTGATTCTCTCATGCATTTTTTATAATGATTATACCCCTTCACGTATTTATAAAATAAATTGTGAAAATGTGTATACATTTTGAACAATTTATTAATAACCTCGGTAAAATGGTATTAAAAAAAAATGATTTAAAAAAAAAAGAATTCCCAGGATCTGAGCCCCCCCCCCCCTTCCCGGTTTGAGAATGTGACTAGGTTTAGTATTAAACTGTTAACTAATTTTGGTAAATTGTATTTGTTCTGTTCTCAGGTGTTGTATGAGAATGGGGTAAACGGGATACTGGCAGATGAGATGGGTCTGGGCAAGACTGTTCAGTGTGTGGCCATCCTCTCACATCTGGTCTACATGGGAGTTCCAGGCCCCTTCTTTATATGTGCACCACTCTCAACTATACCAAACTGGTTTGCAGAATTTAAGAAATTTGCACCAAAGGTAATGCTTGTTGACTGTGTCTGTTTTTCTGCATTCACTCTTAGAAGATCGTTTGATAGTTTGTGTTGTGCTTTACATTTACAGCTGGGCTGGGCTGGGAAGTTTGTGGCTTTGGGCCGCGAACATAAATCTGTAAGTTGTTGCCTTCTACGATACACTTGTTGGGAGCAGTGGGTCCGGAACCCACACAGGGTCCTTAATATATTATACAATGTCCTCGATGGTGGTAGTCAATGGTGCTATGACAGTTGGGAATTTCTTCTTCTTTAAGTTAAAGTAGTGTCTTGCTATGTAAATTGGTAAAACAGGATGGAAGGATCTGAGAAAACCCTTGGGTAAACAGAACAGCTTGAAAGAGATAACTTATATTCCCAGTGTTTTGAAAGGGAGTCGCTGTGGTGTAGCGGCTAGATGCTCATGTGCGGATCAGAACGTCGTGGGTTTGAGTCCTGATGGAACCATACTATTTTAAAAAATGACCTTGACTCCCAGGTCAACCCAGCCTTGTGTACGAGGTTAAAGTCCTGGGAAGTAAAGGTGTCCAACTTGATGCTGACCACATCACCCACCAAGTGCTGATTGGTCTATAAAACATAGTTCCAGCCCTCTACTTCTGGTGGCATGGAACAGTTTAAAAAAAACATACTTTTTATGATTTTGAAAACCCATTTGCAGTATTAAAAAAAATTGCTAGAACCCTTTAAATTTACACATCGTAGTCTGGCACTTGAAGAGAGAAGTAACATTCTGCTTTCGATTTTTGGGGATATTTTTCCACAACTAACCTGCAGGATATTTCAGTCAGGGCTAGAGAACCCGTTTATACCACAACCTCCTCCTCCCCAGTCAGGGTTACGTGAACAGTAAACAATTTTGTAATCTTGTACATCGTCATCGTGCTGACACTGCAGTTGCTATGGCTGGCCCAGTACTGGACAGAAGTGATGTTATCAATGCCATGCGCTGCACTTACCGTACCAAGGAGCACGCCAAAGGACATGATTCCATATCCCTGTCTAGACTGATGGACATGGGGGAGCTTGGAGCTGCAAGAAATGAATTTTTCACTAAGAGGACAAGACATTTCATTCACCAACACAGAACAGGCATCATCAGTCGTTTTACACCTGTGGAGCTGTTGAGGAGGAGATCAGAGCACGTATGGATTTGTCCGGTGTGCTGTGATGATAATCCTTTCTAATCACTAATCATCGTGTGACTATACATTGATGCAAACAGCAACCAAAAATGTATAATCTGACACCAATATAACTGCAAACAAATTTATTGGCTGAACAGTTCTAACAAAAACTGTGAAATAAAATACTGCAAATTCAGTGGCTGTTTTGTACAAGAATTCTGATACAGTTTTACTGAATGGTCAAACTCAAAAAGCCATAAAATCAATTGATTCCCAAGACACAGAAGACACATCCTGGTAAACGTTGAGGATTGACTTCTGAAACAATTATCACTAACCACAAAGCCACAGAGCTGTAATGTACAGAAGCTACACTAACAGACGCATGCAACAATATATACGTGAAGCATATACATGAAACAGTTAGCATGAACTAATGAACCTACCTCCGACTGCCACCCCACTGCTGTAAGCAAAACACTGTCTTCCAGTTTCAAGGATTTTTTTGTCACAGTCATCAAACTGTTAGAAATATCTTCACCTTCACTTTCCGATGTAAAGCAGTCAAGACAATGTCACATAGAACCAGGAATCCCTAAACTCTCCCACCTTGCAGGTCAGCCCATTATCAGAACATTCATTTCTGTGGCATCATCATGGGAGCTCACCAAGAACATTTGTGGAAAATTTAAGTACTACCAAATTGTTTCCCTTAAAGAAACAGAGAAACGAATGGACTAAAGCAGTGTTTCCCAAACTTGTCTTAGTCCTTCGCCTTTTTCCAGTTACAATTTGTCCATGGCGCACTAACCTGAGTAAAAGTATGACTATTCGTATGTAAGAGATAAGGTCGCAGCTTCCTGGGGGGCCGCAGCGCAGATTGGGAACCACTAGACTAGCATGGAGGAAAGCGTCCAAAGTTACAATCACAGAGGGTGTGATCATGGCGGCCAGGCGTATCATGGTAGTCAGTGGGTTAATTGTATTATCGCTTCATTTGATTTCTAATTCAAAGTTCAACAAAGTGTACTGAAACTAACAAAGTGTACTGAAACTAACAAAGTGTATTGAAACTAACAAAGTGTATTGAAACTAACAAAGTGTACTGAAACTAACAAAGTGTATTGAAACTAACAAAGTGTATTGAAACTAACAAAGTGTATTGAAACTAACAAAGTGTACTGAAACTCACAAAGTGTACTGAAACTAACAAAGTGTATTGAAACTAACAAAGTGTACTGAAACTAACAAAGTGTATTGAAACTAACAAAGTGTATTGAAACTAACAAAGTGTACTGAAACTAACAAAGTGTATTGAAACTAACAAAGTGTACTGAAACTAACAAAGTGTATTGAAACTAACAAAGTGTACTGAAACTAACAAAGTGTACTGAAACTAACAAAGTGTACTGAAACTAACAAAGTGTATTGAAACTAACAAAGTGTATTGAAACTAACAAAGTGTATTGAAACTAACAAAGTGTATTGAAACTAACAAAGTGTATTGAAACTAACAAAGTGTACTGAAACTAACAAAGTGTACTGAAACTAACAAAGTGTACTGAAACTAACAAAGTGTACTGAAACTAACAAAGTGTACTGAAACTAACAAAGTGTACTGAAACTAACAAAGTGTACTGAAACTAACAAAGTGTACTGAAACCAACAAAGTGTATTGAAACTAACAAAGTGTATTGAAACTAACAAAGTGTACTGAAACTAACAAAGTGTACTGAAACTAACAAAGTGTACTGAAACTAACAAAGTGTATTGAAACTAACAAAGTGTACTGAAACTAACAAAGTGTATTGAAACTAACAAAGTGTACTGAAACTAACAAAGTGTACTGAAACTAACAAAGTGTACTGAAACTAACAAAGTGTACTGAAACTAACAAAGTGTACTGAAACTAACAAAGTGTATTGAAACTAACAAAGTGTATTGAAACTAACAAAGTGTATTGAAACTAACAAAGTGTATTGAAACTAACAAAGTGTACTGAAACTAACAAAGTGTACTGAAACTAACAAAGTGTATTGAAACTAACAAAGTGTACTGAAACTAACAAAGTGTACTGAAACTAACAAAGTGTATTGAAACTAACAAAGTGTACTGAAACTAACAAAGTGTACTGAAACTAACAAAGTGTATTGAAACTAACAATGTGTACTGAAACTAACAAAGTGTATTGAAACTAACAAAGTGTACTGAAACTAACAAAGTGTACTGAAACTAACAAAGTGTACTGAAACTAACAAAGTGTACTGAAACTTACAAAGTGTATTGAAACTAACAAAGTGTACTGAAACTAACAAAGTGTATTGAAACTAACAAAGTGTACTAAAACTAACAAAGTGTACTGAAACTAACAAAGTGTACTGAAACTAACAAAGTGTACTGAAACTAACAAAGTGTATTGAAACTAACAAAGTGTATTGAAACTAACAAAGTGTATTGAAACTAACAAAGTGTATTGAAACTAACAAAGTGTACTGAAACTAACAAAGTGTACTGAAACTAACAAAGTGTACTGAAACTAACAAAGTGTATTGAAACTAACAAAGTGTACTGAAACCAACAAAGTGTACTGAAACTAACAAAGTGTACTGAAACTAACAAGGTGTACTGAAACTAACAAAGTGTACCGAAACTAACAAAGTGTATTGAAACTAACAAAGTGTACTGAAACTAACAAAGTGTACTGAAACTAACAAAGTGTACTGAAACTAACAAAGTGTATTGAAACTAACAAAGTGTATTGAAACTAACAAAGTGTATTGAAACTAACAAAGTGTATTGAAACTAACAAAGTGTATTGAAACTAACAAAGTGTATTGAAACTAACAAAGTGTATTGAAACTAACAAAGTGTATTGAAACTAACAAAGTGTATTGAAACTAACAAAGTGTATTGAAACTAACAAAGTGTATTGAAACTAACAAAGTGTACTGAAACTAACAAATTGTACTGAAACTTACAAAGTGTACTGAAACTAACAAAGTGTATTTAAACTAACAAAGTGTACTGAAACTAACAGTGTACTGAAACCAACAAAGTGTACTGAAACCAACAAAGTGTACTGAAACCAACAAAGTGTACTGAAACCAACAAAGTGTACTGAAACCAACAAAGTGTACTGAAACTAACAAAGTGTATTGAAACTAACAAAGTGTATTGAAACATCCTGTTTATTTTCTCCCCAACAGGTGCCAGTAATTCTTTACCATGGTCAGAAGAACAAGCGAGTCCACTTGGCTAAGCAGATACGACAGAAACATAAAATACGAGAGGGTGTTTATGTACAGCCGGTTGTTATCACATCCTATGAGGTTGCCATGATCGATCGAAAGATTCTGGCCAATCATGAATGGAAGTATCTTATTGTAGATGAAGGCCACCGTATCAAAAACACTCACTGCCGCCTGATTCGGTGAGTTCATCATTTTTATAAATGGTGTGTTTGAAATGTTACAGAAACATTGTAAAAATGCCACGGACCAAGAAAACAAACAAGAAAAACATTGACATTCTACATGATCTTAGCATTGAGGAGAATTGGCTCACAAACAGCATCTTGGCCTGAAAGCTAAGATATTTCGGTCATAATAAACGTCAAAGTGGCTTTAAAAAAACAGTGATGAAGGGTACATTTCCAGGAAAAGAGGCAGAGGCTGACCTTGACAAAGTGGATACAAGTCATTGGCTGTCAAAGCAGATAGGGCTGGAGTTGGCTAGAGATAGACTTTTTGTGTGCCTTGATGAAAGCAACATTTTGTTAAAAACCTGTTGATTCATTGATATATAGTTGTAAGGTATGAGTTGAAACAAGTGTTTCTTCTTCTTGTGTTTATATATATATATATATATATATATATATATATATATATATATATATATATATATATATATATATATATATATATATATATATATATATATATATATATATATATATATATATATATGGACACACACACACGCGCGCACACACACACACGTATGTATATGTGTATGTATGTATATGTGTATGTATGTATATGTATACACACACACACATTATTTAGAAAAAGTAAATTCTTAATTGAACCACAAAAATAATTCCATTCTAAAGTTGACGTTTTTTTTGGTTTTATTAAATGCTATCACAAATCTCTGAAATTTGTTCTGCTGACCACCAAATGGCAAAGGCATATTTATATAATAAATATAAAAATCCAGATATTTAAAATATATAGGAGAGATTTGCATTAGCAAAGCGGTTAGCATGCTTTTTTTGCTGACCCAGTGATCTTGTGTTCATATCTCCCTAGACTCTTTGAGTCCCAAGGAACGCTTCATACGTTCATAGGTTACTGCCTAGAAGCCCAGTGAACGCATGATGCGCTGATTTTAGTCTCTTTTGACTACCCCTTGGGCCTGTGATGCTAAACCCTCTGGGACTCAAAGAGTTAAGGTGGATTTTTAGAACCGTCATGGGCTTCCATATTCTCCCAGAATAGAATGGGTACCTGGAAATGTGGCAGGAGGTAAAAGTACTTTGCTGTGATGTTTGCCACTTGACCTATTGAGTGCTGATATGTCAGCTGGATACTTCTACTTCTCTACATGTTTGCTATTCATTGTGTTTCTATGGTTATCTTCTGAGTGCACATAGTACACTGATTGTATACTTCACAGAGAGCTGCGTATGTACAGATCTACTCACATAGTACACTGATTGTATACTTTACAGAGAGCTGCGTATGTACAGATCTACTCACATAGTACACTGATTGTATACTTCACAGAGAGCTGCGTATGTACAGATCTACTCACATAGTACACTGATTGTATACTTCACAGAGAGCTGCGTATGTACAGATCTACTCACCGTCTACTGTTGACTGGCACTCCGCTACAGAACAACCTGGCAGAACTGTGGTCCCTGCTAAATTTTCTCCTACCTGAGATCTTTAACGATTTGGGAAGGTAAGAACACAGGCCCATATCTTGTGGAGTTAACATATGTATTAACATATATTTAGTATATATTTATATATATAAGTTCAGTTTTCAAGCTACAAACCACTCCAAATGTAAAGGTCGACTTAAATGATGTGTATAAAATGTGTCAGTGTGGTCTGGAGGAGAATGGTCATGGACGGTACCATTTCCGGAAAATGAAGCAAAGTCCGATCTCCGTGAACGTGGATACAAGACATTGAATGTGCATTGGCAATGAGAGCACGCAGGGCTGAAGAAGTAGCTAGAGAAAGAGAGACTTTTAGGCATGCTGTGCAGAAAGCGATATTCTGTAAAGGATATGCTGATTGCCTGATTAATTGATAAAATGTGTAAGGTGGGTATATGCCTAACTAAAAATTTGAGCTACAAAATTTGAAGTTGACTTGTAGATTGCAATTGATGATACATAAGATTTGATTGTTCAGTCTTCTCTGGGGTTCGCTTGTATTATGCAGCATCTAGTCAAAGGTTATTGATCCTGACTTTCTAATGCTGTTTCTGTCACCTTGTAGTTTTGAGGCCTGGTTTGATGCAAGCTCAATCAACGAGGCTGATGCTGAAGAGAAGATTCTGCAGCAAGAGAAAGCCAAAAACATCCTGAGCATGTTACATCAGGTAAGACATATGCTTGTTGGGTTAAGCACCAAAGGTTCAAAGCTTGCAGACACAGACACACACAAAACCCACTTGATTATCTTCCTTGAACCTTTGTCTGGGAAAAAAAAAACATGGATTCTTAAACATTAGCAAGGATGCTCAAGTGCTGACTACAGATGCTGGTGCACTAGGAGAAGGGCTGATACTAGTCATGACCTACTTACACCTTTCCTCCATGGTCGTCCTAGAAACAGTCTGCCGCCTGGGAACCTGGCCAGCATAGACAGATGTTTACTTCAAAGTTGGAGTGTTCCCCAGAAGCAGTGAACCAGCAGTTTGCACACAAATAAGCCAGATCTGTATAACAGATATGCATGCAGCACTAAGTCCTGGAACAAGACTAGAGTCTATTAGGCGAAAAACTAGGACTTTCTGCCAGAATACATAGCCGGTTAACACGAAGAAGAAGAAACATTATTAAAACAAGCACATGGTAGCGTCCCTTAAAAAAATGCACACATTTGTGTTTTCTCTGTGTATAGTAAAAGGTTAAAAATCAAAACAGGTCAACTATTTTCTTTATCTAGGCTACACAGTGATGGGAGATGTGACACGGAGATAAAGAAAGTACTTTTTAAAAACAGTGTAATAAAAAACAGAATTATGACAGGCACAAAAATGCACCTACTCATGAAAGACTTTTGTGTAATAAATTTCAATGACTGCCTATTCTGTACATAGATCCTGACCCCGTTCATGTTACGGCGCCTGAAGTCAGATGTGGATCTGAACATTCCCCCAAAGAAAGAGGTCCTGGTGTTTGCTCCGATGACCCAGCAGCAGAGGCGCCTCTACTCTGCCCTGGTGGACAGAACCATCTTTAGCATCCTGGATCAGAAAAATGTAAGAAATCACTGTTGTCTGGGAACTATGGGTGAAGAACTGGGACTGTCTGGGAACTATGGGTGAAGAACTGGGAAATATGGCTGAAGAACTGGGACTGTCTGGGAACTATGGGTGAAAAACTGGAACTGACTGGGAACTATGGGTTAAGAACTGGGACTGACTGGGAACTATGGGTGAAGAACTGGGACTGATTGGGAACTATGGCTGAAGAACTGGGAACTATGGCTGAAGAACTGGGACTGTCTGGGAACTATGGGTGAAGAACTGGGACTGACTGGGAACTATGGCTGAAGAACTGGGACTGTCTGGGAACTATGGGTGTGAAACTGGGACTGACTGGGAACTATGGGTGAAGAACTGGGAAATATGGCTGAAGAACTGGGACTGTCTGGGAACTATGGGTGAAAAACTGGAACTGACTGGGAACTATGGGTTAAGAACTGGGACTGACTGGGAACTATGGGTGAAGAACTGGGACTGATTGGGAACTATGGCTGAAGAACTGGGACTGTCTGGGAACTATGGGTGAAAAACTGGGACTGACTGGCAACTATAAGTGAAGAACTGGGAACTATGGCTGAAGAACTGGGACTGTCTGGGAACTATATGTGAAAAACTGGGACCGTGTTTTGTAGAAGATGTAAGAGCATTGAAGTCATTACCGAACTTTACCCCTGTGAAGTTTCAGGGGCCCAGTTTTTGGGGAGAAAAAGAATAGACACACTGTCCCCTAACAAGCATCTTGCCAAAGGCAACTAATGAGGGTATTTCCTTTGAACTCGATCTACCTGAGAGGCAAAGAACCAACTGCCTGGATACAAAGTAGACAGATCTTTAAAACGGGTGTACATGCAAAACTCGGGTGGAACAAGACCAAAGTCCAAAAGTGGATGAACAACCAAAAGTTTCTGCCTTAGTTTATATTAATAAAGTAACAGACAATGAATTGATCGGTACTCATTGTTGTTATTCGACCTAAACTTCGTTCATATACATTTCTGTAACCTATGGTGCCATTTAATAGTTTGAAATGAATTTGGTCCAAATTCGATAGTTGTGGATTTCAATCTGTACGATAGACATGGCCAATAAGACACCTTTTCTGGAGGTGCCTGGTTGACCATGTTCTTAGTGCACTTGTTTTGATAGCGAGGTGCACACGCCGACTGGAGGTGGCAGGTTCGATTCCCGGCATGGTAACTAGTTTGAGATTTTTATGTTGTCTACTGTTTTCTTCTATCTTTCTACTTCTTTCTATAAGTGCTGATCAATTCATTGTATGTTACTTTATTAATATATAATATTTAATGGCCCCCTCTGTTTATTTATATGACTGCCTTAGTTTACAGCTGGGGAAGGCTGAAAAAAAAAAAGATTACTGAACTACCAGTAAGCTACTGAAGAGTGGAACTGAACACATGTGGGAGTGTCCTGAGTAGAGTCATGTCAGTTTTTGGTTGAGTGATTAGTTGATTCATTCATCAAAATACATTGATCTAAAAGATAACGCTGGGTGAAATTATGCGACATTTCTGCAAATGGGGTAGAATAGAGAAATTAGTCATATGTGGAAAATACTTGTGATGAGAGGCAAGAAAAGACAAGAAAGATATCTGTAGAAAGCTTAAATTAACCAGGAGTAAATAATATGTCAGATGAACTTCAGTGAAGTGTCAGATGACAGGGGGTGGGTTCTGGGGCTCCAGTTTTGGGCTGGGAGGTGGGGGGGGGGAGGGGGGGGGGTGAACAGTGAATAGACCCACCACCCCTTAACAAACATTGGGCTGAAAGGTGTAAACATCGCAGCCTAGCTGTAAACCACAATACAGCCTGCTAAGCGCCCTTATAAGGGCGAACACAGGTGAAGAAGAAACAATCAGGTGTTAAATTGGAGTGACGTTTATTTGTTATTACTAAATGTTAAGTTCGGATGACCCACACCTGTCGCAGTCAGCAGTTAAATTTCTGTGGCATTTTCCAGAAGCCAGCAGAAGTAGTGGAAACACAAGCAAATGGCAGACCTAAACGCAGGTCAGCTTCTGGCAAAGTTGATTATTCTTTGTTGATGGAAACGGATGCGGAACGGAAGTCCAACAAGACCAGGGGAGAGAAGGCACACAGAAGGCGATGGAAGGATGTGGAGCAGGAGGAGCAGGAACTGGAGAACTGGATTCAGGCTGTGAGTGACACGGCCACACCAAAGTATGTCTCTTTTTACACACTGTGTTTTGTGTGTTAAGACTGAAGTGTATTTTCTGTTTTTTGTTGTGACTCACTGATTGTTAAAGGAATTAAGAGAGTTGCTAAAGGAAATTAAAAAAAAGGGGGATAAGATAAATATTTCAGTATTATTTAGAAACGCAAACTTCCCCGTGTGGGTTGCGGGGCCCTATTGGGGGGGGAAAACAAGAACACACCCACTGCCTACCCAAAAGCATGTCGTAAGAGTCGACTAATTGGGAGCTTCCTATGAAGTCTGAGTGCATCTGCCTGAGAGGCAAGGAACCAACAGTCTGCATACACATGAGTCAGATCTGTAAAACGGATGTACATGCAACATTCCGGTTCTGGAGCAGGACTGCAGTCCAGAAGTGGACGAACAACCAGAACTTTCCACAAGAGTTTCAGCTGGTGAATGCGAAGAAGAAACGCTAACTCTTATAAAAAGCATACTGGAGGAGGAAATTTAAGCCTTGCGAGCAAGAGGATGTCAGCAATACAAATGGGACATCAAGAGATGGATGCCCAGCATTTTTCTTCTTCTTCGTGTTCACTGGCTGTAAACTCCAGTGGAAAATTCTAGTGTTCACCCACCTCCGAGTCTTATACTAGAACCTGAGTGTTGTATGCATGTCCATTTCACAGATCTGGCTTATTTGTATGCAGACTCTTGGTTCCTTGCCCTTGAGGTAGATGTACTGAGACTTTGTAGGATGCTCCCAATTAGATGACTTTAACAACATGTTTGTTGGGGTGGAGGGAAGGGGGGGGGGGGGGGGTGAGTGGGTGTGTAGAAAGTAAAGTTCCCTTTTTCACACCTTTACTTCCCAGGACTGCACCTGGTATGCACTCAAGGCTGGGTCGACCTAGGAGTCAAGGTTATTTTGTTAAAGAAAAAGTCTGGCTCCACCAGGACGCGACCCCACGACCTTCCGATCCTCAGGCGGGCGACAGTGGCTGTATTCTTGTTTTAATATTTTTTTTTTTACATGTAGGGAAATTATCACTAAATATAAAGAATCTAAGAACAATCCGCAAAGCTTCCCTTTGACCATAATAAATGTGGTTTTATTGATAGGAGATTGTGATCCTATCTGCGTTGGCCTGGCTGTAGTAGGAGACCTGTTTCTAGGACGACCACGCAGAGGTGTAGGCTGGTCTTGACCACTATGAGCCCTGGTAACGGTACACCACCACGTTTATTTCAGCACCTCTGCATTACTTGTGTAGAACAAGCTCATGGACTGTTTCTGTTGTCCCAGGGCTGGTGAAGAGAAGAAAGCAAGGAGTTCCCAGGTCACCATCAAGATGAGGAATGTGATGATGCAGCTGCGCAAGTGCTGTAACCACCCCTACCTCCTGGAGCATCCCGTGGACCCTGAGACGGGCGACCTGGCACTGACCGAGGATGTCATCACTGCCTCCGGCAAGATGCTGGTGCTGGATAAGATGTTGGCAGAGCTGAAGAAACGGGGACACAGGGTGAGTCTTCATGGCATTTTGAGAGTAAGTCAGTCATAGCATTCTGGTCTTTGATCATCCTGTTTCCAGGGTAAGGTCACTAATCTTCTCAGAGCAAATTCTGCAGCACTATAACCATATGAGGGTGGAAGGGGATAAACTTTGGGACAGTAGAAATGGCCTGGGCATGTGTGTAGGGGACTGAGAATACACAAATGACCTATTTGTGTGTAGGGGACTGAGAATACACAAATGACCTAGTCATGTGTGTAGGGGACTGAGAATACACAAATGACCTATTTATGTGTGTGGGGGTCTTTGAGATGACACAAATAGCCATATCATGTGTGTAGAAGACAGTGTACATAGACCCTAGTTGTAAGAACAATTTTAATGCTTGAACTACCTTTTTATGAGCTAACAGATGTGATGCATTATTGTATCAATAGGTGCTCATCTTCAGCCAGATGACTCGAATGTTAGACCTCATTGAGGACTTCTGTTACATCAGGAAGTATGACTTCTGTCGTCTGGACGGGAGCACACATGTAGATGACCGCAGAGACAGTGTAAGAACTTTGTCTGTTTTCTCTGTGTGGCATTGTTCCGTTTAATAATGCTTCAGTCTGACATGTAGTTGTTTATGTGCATCGTTTCATGTGATAATGCTTCAGTCTGACATTTAATTGTTTTTGTGCATCGTTTCACGTAATAATGCTTCAGTCTGACATTTAATTGTTTTTGTGCATCGTTTCACGTAATAATGCTTCAGTCTGACATTTAATTGTTTTTGTGCATCGTTTCATGTAATAATGCTTCAGTCTGACATTTAATTGTTTTTGTGCATCGTTTCATGTAATAATGCTTCAGTCCGATATGTAGTTGTTTGTGTGGCATCATTTCATGTAATAATGCTTCAGCCTGACATTTAATTGTTTTTGTGCATCGTTTCATGTAATAATGCTTCAGTCCGATATGTAGTTGTTTGTATGGCATCATTTTATGTGATAATGCTTCATTCAGTCTGACATGTAGTTGTTTATGTGCATCGTTTCATGTAATAATGCTTCAGTCTGACATGTAGTTGTTTATGTGCATCGTTTCATGTGATAATGCTTCAGTCTGACATGTAGTTGTTTGTGTGGCATCGTTTCATGTAATAATGCTTCAGTCTGACATGTAGTTGTTTATGTGCATCGTTTCATGTGAAAATGCTTCAGTCTGACATGTAGTTGTTTATGTGCATCGTTTCATGTGATAATGCTTCAGTCTGACATGTAGTTGTTTATGTGCATCGTTTCATGTGATAATGCTTCAGTCTGACATGTAGTTGTTTATGTGCATCGTTTCATGTGATAATGCTTCAGTCTGACATGTAGTTGTTTATGTGCATCGTTTCATGTGATAATGCTTCAGTCTGACATGTAGTTGTTTGTGTGGCATCGTTTCATGTAATAATGCTTCAGTCTGACATGTAGTTGTTTATGTGCATCGTTTCATGTGAAAATGCTTCAGTCTGACATGTAGTTGTTTATGTGCATCGTTTCATGTGATAATGCTTCAGTCTGACATGTAGTTGTTTATGTGCATCGTTTCATGTGATAATGCTTCAGTCTGACATGTAGTTGTTTATGTGGCATCGTTTCATGTAATAATGCTTCAGTCTGACATGTAGTTGTTTATGTGCATCGTTTCATGTAATAATGCTTCAGTCTGACATGTAGTTGTTTATGTGCATCGTTTCATGTGATAATGCTTCAGTCTGACATGTAGTTGTTTGTGTGGCATCGTTTCATGTAATAATGCTTCAGTCTGACATGTAGTTGTTTATGTGCATCGTTTCATGTGATAATGCTTCAGTCTGACATGTAGTTGTTTATGTGCATCGTTTCATGTAATAATGCTTCAGTCTGACATGTAGTTGTTTATGTGCATCGTTTCATGTGATAATGCTTCAGTCTGACATGTAGTTGTTTGTGTGGCATCGTTTCATGTAATAATGCTTCAGTCTGACATGTAGTTGTTTATGTGCATCGTTTCATGTGAAAATGCTTCAGTCTGACATGTAGTTGTTTATGTGCATCGTTTCATGTGATAATGCTTCAGTCTGACATGTAGTTGTTTATGTGCATCGTTTCATGTGATAATGCTTCAGTCTGACATGTAGTTGTTTGTGTGGCATCGTTTCATGTAATAATGCTTCAGTCCGATATGTAGTTGTTTGTGTGGCATCATTTTATGTGATAATGCTTCAGTCTGACATGTAGTTGTTTATGTGCATCGTTTCATGTGATAATGCTTCAGTCTGACATGTAGTTGTTTATGTGCATCGTTTCATGTGATAATGCTTCAGTCTGATATGTAGTTGTTTGTGTGGCATCGTTTCATGTAATAATGCTTCAGTCTGACATGTAGTTGTTTATGTGCATCATTTTATGTGATAATGCTTCAGTCTGACATGTAGTTGTTTATGTGCATCGTTTTATGTAATAATGCTTCAGTCTGACATGTAGTTGTTTATGTGCATCGTTTCATGTGATAATGCTTCAGTCTGACATGTAGTTGTTTATGTGCATCGTTTCATGTGATAATGCTTCAGTCTGACATGTAGTTGTTTGTGTGGCATCGTTTCATGTAATAATGCTTCAGTCCGATATGTAGTTGTTTGTGTGGCATCATTTTATGTGATAATGCTTCAGTCTGACATGTAGTTGTTTATGTGCATCGTTTTATGTGATAATGCTTCAGTCTGACATGTAGTTGTTTATGTGCATCGTTTTATGTAATAATGCTTCAGTCTGACATGTAGTTGTTTATGTGCATCGTTTTATGTAATAATGCTTCAGTCTGACATGTAGTTGTTTATGTGCATCGTTTTATGTAATGACAGTTCATTTTGAGCTTTCTCTGTTGGTGTGATAGTCCCAGTGTGGGTCCGGGGCCCCATTATATCACATGTCAAGACTAATTAGTGGTGTTGCCTTTAAAGTTGGAGTGCATCAGCCTGAAAGGCAAGGAACCAACAGCCTGCACTACAAATAAGTCGGATCTGTAAAACAAATTTGTAAAATTGATGTACATGCAAAAATCCGGCCCTGGCACAAAGCCAAAGTCCAAATGGACAAACAGCTAGGACTTTCTGCTGGAGCTTACAGCCGGTGAACAAAGAAGAAGAAAAACAAACCTATGAATGCAAAGAAGAATAAGAAGAAGTGTGATAGATGCACTGAGGGTTAATCCTGACATTAGTTTGCTCTGTTGGTGTTGCAGTATTTCTTGTAAAAAGGGTTCATTCTGACAGCATTATTTATTTCTGGCAGATGAACGTGTTCAACACTCAAGATTCTGACAAGTTCCTTTTCTTGTTGAGCACAAGGGCTGGAGGGCTGGGCATCAACCTCACAGGCGCTGACACTGTTATCATCTACGACAGTGACTGGGTAGGTCATGCTCACCTCTGAATGTTGTCTAAACTCGGAATTATAAATTTTAAAAACTTAAGCTTTTGAGTTCTAAAGTTTTTTTTTAGTTGAAACATATGCCAGTGAAAGTAGGAGAAGCACTTGAAACATATGCCAGTGAAAGTAGGAGAAGCAATTAAAACATGGAAAGGAAGTTTAGTGTTCTTGAAAACTAATGTCTGAGAAAAAACGATGAACATAAAAGGGGGTGAATTTAAGAGGGGTGAAGAAATCAGAGAAATGTCTGGGCAACCTCTAGTATCAACAGGCATAAGACAGAGGAAATGGTGCTGTATACTGGACACATTCTGTGAAGAGTCGAGCAGAGAATCACCAAACAGGAACCAGAATTGGAAATAAAGAGATTAAGGAGGTGAGGACGCCTAAAGGAAAAACTAATAGTAACGTTGATGAGAGAGGCCAAAGCTGCTGGACCGGATTCCTTCCATGATATTGAACTTATCACACAAGATAGAGCGGAATGGATGAATAGACTGCTAGCTCTGTGTGACAGATAAGTGCACATCAGGACAGTGAATCATCATCATCATGTTTACACGTGGGTGTTAAACTAATTAATGTGATCTGTCATACATCTTCTTCTTCTTCGCGTTCACAAGCTGTACACTGGCGGAAAGTTCTGGTTGCTTATCCACTACTGAACTGCAGTCCTGCTCCAAAACCTGAGTGTTGCGTGTGCATCAGTTTTACAGATCTCATTCTCTTGAATACAGACTGCTGGTCCCTTGCCTCTCCGGCAGATGCACTTCGACTTCAAAGGAAGCTCCCCAATTAGTCGACTCTTACGACATGCTTTTGGGGGAGGCAGTGGGTCTATTCTTGTTTTCCCCACAATAGGGCCCCAGACCCCACATGGGGGTCTGTCATGCATCATATTCTTCTTCTTTGCGTTTACTGGCTGTAAACTCTGGCGGAAAGTTCTGGTTGTTTGTCCACCTCTGGACTTTAGTCTTGTTCCAGAACCTGGGCATTGCGTGCATAACCGTTTTACAGATCTGACTCATTTGTATGCAGATTACTGATTTGTTTCCTCTCAGGCATACGCTTTCTGACTTTGAAGGAAGCCATCCCAGTTAGTCGACTCTTACGACGTTCTTGTTTCCCCCACAATGTGGCCAGAGAACCCACACTGAACAATATGTCATATTTACATCAGAATGCTTCAGTCCTTAATGTGACCTCAAGGGCTATTTTTCTGGTGGTATGCAAAGGTATGCAGTGTCGGCACCATGTTTTTTTTTAAAGCATCATTTTTTTCTCTCCTACTGTAATACACTTTGTAGTGAGTACCTGCACCTTTTTTGTTTTAAAACACTTTGTGTGCATAATTTTTTCAGAACTATTTTAAACACTCTGTGATGAGAACCCTCACTTCCCCCTCCCCCTTAAAGCATAATTTTTCCAGAGCTACTTTAATATGCTTTCTGGTAAGTTTTGGCACCTTTTTTAAAAAAGCATTTTCCAGAGCTACTGTAATACACTTTGCAGTGAATATCGGCAGCATTTTTTGTAGCTGCTGCAATACACTTTGTGGTATGTATCTGCACCTTTTTTTGTGTGGATAGTTTATAAGTACTGGCACTTGTATGTGTGGTGAACCCAAGTACATTTTGTGTTAGACAAAGAAAACCCAGCTGACCATACTACTAGTAAGTACATCATGTTTACATATGAAAGTTGAACTGTAGTTAATTTCATAAATGTTTAATTTACATTTGAATGTCTAAGTGTAATTATTCTTCTTCACTTCCTTTCACCCCTTTGGATGTTGAACGAGACATAATAATGTTCAACTCCTTGCTGTTTTGGCCACCTCGACCATCGACAGATCACGCTGTTGTTGTGTTTCTCTGATGTGTATCTTCAGCTTGTTCCACCTGATGCTTTCAAAGTCATCTGTTGTGACCTATAATTAATCCCGTCCACAACAGAACCCCCAGTGTGACCTTCAAGCCCAGGACCGGTGTCATCGTATAGGTCAGACTAAACCGGTGGTCGTCTATCGTCTTATCACTGCTGACACTATCGACCAGAAGATCGTTGAAAGGGCCGCAGGCAAGAGGAAGCTGGAGAAAATGATTATCCATAAAGGTATTTCTGTGTTCTTCTTCACGTTCACAGCTGTAACAACTGTAGTCTTGTTCCAGAGCTTGAGGTTTACAGATTGTTGGCTCCCTGTCTCTCAGCTAGATGCATGCAGATTTATACAGAAGCCCCAAATTAATGAACTCTTATGACCTGCTGGTTAGGGAGTCAGTGGGTGTGTTCTTCTTCCCATCCACAGTTGGGCCCCAGAACCCACACAGGGAAGGTATTTCTGTTTTTAATTATATCAACAAAAAAAAGATAAGCATCATTTGTGAGAATGAGAAAGGAAGAAACAGTAGCTTGTGTTCCTTTATTGTGTGGCTGAAATGTTTTGCTGATAGCATCAAGTAGATTATGAGGAGCCTGCCATTCTCAAGGTTGTAGATATATATATATATATATTTATATGCTTCATATTTGCAGCATTGGTGTTATTTGTCTGTGTGTGTTTTTTTTTTTTGAGTTCCTTTTTGTAGACAAGAGCCATGTAAGCCCAGTATTAGCAGTTCAAAGCTTTCCCCTTGTCCTTTATGAAGTCTGGGGGGGGGGGGGGATAGACCCACTGCCTCTCTAACAAAATATTGAACAGAGAAATTAATTAGGTGAGTTTATCAATGTCAGAGTGAATCTGCCTGAGATGGAAAAAAAAAAAAAACCAACGGCCTGCACACAAATAAGACAGATCTGTAAAGTGGACATGCATGCAAAACTCAGCTCCTGGAAAAAGTCCAGGAATGGACAAACAGCCAGAACTTTTTGCCGAATGTTACAGCCGGTGATACTAACACAAGAAGAAGCTGATAACTCATTATCAGTTGACTAGAGCCCAATGTGTATCAGCTGGTCAGCAACAGAAACTGTTCCTGCCACACACAGCCACCGAGAATAGGGTACCTAGTATTGGCACAGCAGTAGAGAACCTAAGTCGTTGCTAAAGACAACCAGTGGGTTGTCACAACAACCCGTTCACAGCTGTTGAGTCAAGAACCCACCTCACAGCACTCGGGTCATCCCCATAAGTGCTTCATCCTCAGCATCCAGGAGCAGAGTTCACATTCCAATGGTACCAGAAGCGGTCTGATTGTATACGCGTCTTACCTTCCCCACGAATGTTGAGTGTCGGCCAGATCCCCTGATTACTCTCTCCTGCACTGTTCTCTCACACCTGCCTGCCTGGAGAGAAAATCTAAAGGACACTAACTACGAGGGACCCCTAAATGGATGCTCGCCACTCTGTACAGAGCATACCTTCTCCACCTTTCTCCACCTGCTATGTAGCAGATACAATCACAGGAGTTTATCATCATCAGCATCATTAGAGTGTCTTATTTCTTTCAACAAATATCTGAATTTTCATATTTGTACAGGAAAATTCAAGAGTGGAAACTTCATGACCAAAGAAAGTCCCATCAGCCCAGAGGAGCTGCGGGACTTGCTACATTCTACGGATCATGAGTCTGAGGTCATAGGTGACAGCTTTGCCATCAGCAAAGCCGAGATGGATTCCTTGTTGGACCGCTCTGACTTGCTGGAGAAGTGGAACCAGGCCAAGGGCCCAGATTCTGGTAAGTAGAGTAAAGAACCCTTTATAGGGCTAGACCTATATTTTATAGACCAATCGGCACTTGGTGGGTGATGTGGTCAGCATCACACCACCTGTCTTTACTTTCCAGGGCTGCACCTGGTACCCGCTCCAGGCTGGGTCGACCTGGGAGGCAAGGTCTTTTTGAAGAAAGCCCAGTTTCATCAGGACCTGAACCCCTGACCTTCCAATCTGCTGGCGAGATTCTGGTACTTTATTCTTTAATTTAATATTTTCTGTTTGTATGGCAATGTCCTTTGTCCTGGGCCAGCGATGTAGTGCTGATCTCAGCAATGTCCTTTGTCCTGGGCCAGCGATTGTAGTGCTGGGCTCAGCAATATCCTTTGTCCTGGGCCAGCGGTTGTAGCGCTGGGCTCAGCAATGTCCTTTGTCCTGGGCCAGCGGTTGTAGCGCTGGGCTCAGCAATGTCCTTTGTCCTGGGCTAGCTATTGTAGTGCTGGGCTCAGCAATGTCCTTTGTCCTGGGCCAGCGGTTGTAGCGCTGGGCTCAGCAATGTCCTTTGTCCTGGGCTAGCTATTGTAGTGCTGGGCTCAGCAATGTCCTTTGTCCTGGGCCAGCAATTGTAGGGCTGGGCTCAACAATGTCCTTTGTCCTGGGCCAGCGGTTGTAGCGCTGGGCTCAGCAATGTCCTTTGTCCTGGGCCAGCGGTTGTAGCGCTGGGCTCAGCAATGTCCTTTGTCCTGGGCCAGCGGTTGTAGCGCTGGGCTCAACAATGTCCTTTGTCCTGGGCCAGCGATTGTAGCGCTAGGCTCAGCAATGTCCTTTGTCCTGGGCTAGCGATTGTAGTGCTGGGCTCAGCAATGTCCTTTGTCCGGGGCCAGTGATTGCAGTGCTGGGCTCTTGTTGGGGAGAATGGCTTTATATTCTCCGTAAGATGATGGCTATTTTTTGTTAGTGGCAACAGTGACAACACTAACCTGCACAGTTTGTATCTGCACTAGCAGTGTGGCCCTTAATTCTTAGGCTCAAGACATGCATGCATGCGCACACACACACCCATTGCTTTCTTCACCCTTTCTTTCATGAACTGTTTGGAAAGGTCATTGATGAACAGGGTTGATAATGCAACATCTGAGGAACATATGGATATGCCCACTGTCTCTAACAAGCATGCTGTAAAAGGTGACTGATTAGGGTTGTTTCCTTTGAAGTTAGAGTGCGTCTGTCTGAGGAACCAACAGTCTGCATTAAAAAAAACTGGATCTGTAAAACAGATGGGCACACACAATTGTCAGTTCAGGAACAAGGTCAAAGTCCAAAAGTGAATGAACAACCAAAACTTTCCGCCGGTAAACGTGAATGTCAAGAAAAAGAAGGTAAGCACAAACTGTATTGAGAAATTTCTGCTACATAAGAAGTTCCATTTGTATGTTGTCATCTGCATGCAGGTGAAGAGAAGAAAACACCAGGTGCTGCATCCAAGGGGAAAGTTGCATCCAGGAAGAGTGAAAGCTCAAAAGGGAAGAAGAAGAAAACGGCAGTGCATTCCAGGCTTTTTAAGGTAACCAGGTTGATATTTCTGTTATAGTGACTTTATGTTAATATTTGTTGTTTTTCTGCAGCCCGTTTCAGCATAGTCCCTTGACCAACTGATGTCTGGGCACAGGACTGTCTGCTACACAGTGTTCTCACTTGACCAACTCATGTCTGTGCACAGGACTGTCTGCCACACAGTGTTCTCACTTGACCAACTCATGTCTGTGCACAGGACTGTCTGCCACACAGTGTTCTCACTTGACCAACTCATGTCTGTGCACAGGACTGTCTGCCACACAGTGTTCTCACTTGACCAACTCATGTCTGTGCACAGGACTGTCTGCCACACAGTGTTCTCACTTGACCAACTCATGTCTGTGCACAGGACTGTCTGCCACACAGTGTTCTCACTTTCCCAAAATTTATTACGTTAGTCGCATATCCTTTTACATGACGTTGCAGAAACAGCCCCAGCATTTTTTGGCTGTTGTGGTTTTTATAGGCAAATTTATGTCCAGTAGTTTGCCATTGCTTTCTGGACGATCGGCTTCTCGAAACCACTGTCAAAACTAATGCAAGGTGAAAAGCGTGCAACTGGGATTGAACCCTGCATTATGAAGCACGTTCACAGCGCGTAAGCCACAGATGCGGACACAGTGTATTAAATAAATGACATTTGTTAGCAGACTCATCATTCTTCCTGAAATGTCCTGTGTGGGTACGGCAACCCCATTTTGAGGAAAGAAGAAAATAACCACTGCCCCCTTAACAAGTGTGTCGTGAAAGACGGTTCAGATTTAGCGGAAAGTGGATGTGTTGGACTTTAAGGCGTGGATATTGCAGCCTAGCAGTAAACCACAAACACAGTGCCAAAGGCCCTTCTGATTGGTGATGCAATAAACGATGAATATTCTCTATAAAATTATTGTTTCTTAGTCTAATTAAATTTTTAGTAGAATAGTTTGAAAAGGGTGGGGGGCTCGAAAATAGTTTATCAGAAAGAGGCAGTAATAATTTTTTGGTCATATGAGAAGAAGGAAGCTGGAATATGGTGTAACCACCAGGAATATCTGCGAAAGAGGGACAGGAGAAAACAAATTGACTGTAATTGACTGTTTCCATCAGTGACAGATTACTAATTCTGGTGGCTGACTGTTGCTGTTGGCACCTCTAGCTGCTGCCCTGTGCATATTGCTGCCTGTATACGGTTCTGGATTTTGCCTGTGATTAAATGTTCGTTCTCTGCTTTTACCTGGGACAGTGAGATTTTCACATGCATAGAAACATAGCAGGTATAGGTAATATAAAGGTAAAGTCGGGAGATGTGAACCAGCGTCATTGCACACGGTTATAAATCATAAGTGCTCTGCCACCAATACGGACAGCTGATAAGAATTGTCCACCTGTGTCGCCCGCTGTTCACACGTAACTCTGTAGCTACAGCGACGTTCCTCCATTTACCCCAGAATGTCAACTCCGGTACCCATTTCCTAGAGGCTTGGTGAACCCCTGAGAGATCAGGAATCAACAATCTGCATACCAGTAATCCAGGTGTGTAAAACAGGTGTGTTTGCAGAAGTTCTGAAACAAGACTAAAGTTTTGAAATGGTTGAACAACCAGAACTTTCAGCAGGAGTTTACAGCCGGCGGTGAACACGGTGAAGAAGAAGGCATGAAATATTTTTTGGAACTAAATTGAACCTTTTGGGGTAGTTTTCTAGACATTTTTGTTGAGACAATTGTTGCCTTGTGGTAGGTAGAGTTGAGCTCTCATAGGTGTGTGCAGCAGTAGACCATCTTTGATAGAGTCAACATATTTTGCTTTTGTTTCTGTGTTATCAGATCATGGACGCAGATGATCTCAGTTCTACCAGCATCTCCAGCCAGGACACTGAAGATTGTTTGCCCGGTGGAGCAGGGAAATGATTCCTGCCTCCACACTGAAGATTGTTTGCTTGGTGGAGCAGGGAAATGATCCCTGCCTCCACACTGAAGATTGTTTGCTTGGTGGAGCAGGGAAATGATTCCTGCCTCCACACTGAAGATTGTTTGCTTGGTGGAGCAGGGAAATGATCCCTGCCTCCACACTGAAGATTGTTTGCTTGGTGGAGCAGGGAAATGATTCCTGCCTCCACACTGAAGATTGTTTGCTTGGTGGAGCGGGAAAATGATTCCTGCCTCCACACTGAAGATTGTTTGCTTGGTGGAGCAGGGAAATGATTCCTGCCTCCACACTGAAGATTGTTTGCTTGGTGGAGCAGGGAAATTATTCCTGCCTCCACACTGAAGATTGTTTGCTTGGTGGAGCAGGGAAATGATTCCTGCCTCCACACTGAAGATTGTTTGCTTGGTGGAGCAGGGAAATGATTCCTGCCTCCACACTGAAGATTGTTTGCTTGGTGGAGCAGGGAAATGATTCCTGCCTCCACACTGAAGATTGTTTGCTTGGTGGAGCAGGGAAATGATTCCTGCCTCCACACTGAAGATTGTTTGCTTGGTGGAGTGGGTTAGTGATCCCTGCCTCCACACTGAAGATTGTTTGCTTGGTGGAGTGGGTTAGTGATCCCTGCCTCCACACTGAAGATTGTTTGCTTGGTGGAGTGGGTTAGTGATCCCTGCCTCCACACTGAAGATTGTTTGCTTGGTGGAGTGGGTTAGTGATCCCTGCCTCCACACTGAAGATTGTTTGCTTGGTGATCCCTGGCTCTACACTGAAGATTGTTTGCTTGGTGGAGTGGGTTGGTGATCCCTGGCTCTACACTGAAGATTGTTTGCTTGGTGTAGTGGGTTGGTGGACCCTGCCTCCACACTGAAGATTGTTTGCTTGGTGGAGTGGGTTAGTGATCCCTGCCTCCACACTGAAGATTGTTTGCTTGGTGGAGTGGGTTAGTGATCCCTGCCTCCACACTGAAGATTGTTTGCTTGGTGGAGTGGGTTAGTGATCCCTGCCTCCACACTAAAGATTGTTTGCTTGGTGGAGTGGGTTGGTGATCCCTGGCTCTACACTGAAGATTGTTTGCTTGGTGGAGTGGGTTGGTGATCCCTGGCTCTACACTGAAGATTGTTTGCTTGGTGTAGTGGGTTGGTGATCCCTCCCTCCATACTTAAGATTGTTTGCTTGGTGGAGTGGGATGGTAATCCCTCCCTCCACACTCAAGATTGTTTGCCTGGTGAAGCAAGAAAGTGATCACGACCCCATCTATCAGACCTTGACTGGTGATAATAACCTGTAAATTACCACTTTGTGGCCATACTTTGAACTGATATTTTTTTAAATACAAAGAAAACTGTGTAGATAAATGCCTGTAGTTTATGTACAGAAGTTTCTCATTTCTGATGTATTGTTTTCTGCCATCTATAACTCATACCAAGTCCTGTGTGCACTTGTTCCTGTATGGTTGGGTTTTGCAGCTAAGGATGAGGAAGTCGGTCTCCTGCCCCATAATTGGGAATAATGTTGGAATAGAATTGAAGCTTTGAAAATGTGGATGTGCATGGTAGAGACCAAAGCCATTCAACTGGCAGCCCACAGAGGCGTAGCAAGTGACCCATGGATCAAATACCAGTGGTATTAATGATTTTTCTGTGTCAGGGCTTGGGTCACTAAGGATCCCCATTTTCAAACTTTTGGCCCTCGGATAAACTTTGGCGAATAGCCCCGCCACATAGCATTAAGACATCAGAAGCAGGCTTGTTAATGTCAAGATTGAAGCTTGTAAATGTCAAGATTGAAGCTTCCAGAAGTTGGTCGTAAATTTGTACTGAAGTTTTGACAACATTAGAGTTTATGCCACAGATTTGTAAATGTTCATGAGGTTCTTGGAACTGTTTTTATTTCATACATTTTAAGCCTCTGATTTTTATTGACAACTAGATTTGATTGCCTGACTTCAACCGGGAAAGTAAAATCTTATTCTCCAATTCTCTTGGTCTCCACAGCTACACTACAAGTTGAAAGAGGGATTTAGCTAAAACCTATAGTTAGTATCCCGCTTTCTACTTCATCTTTGTCTCTGCCTGTGGCTTAGGCGCCACAAACATGGGTTGTAATGCCAGGGTAACACTAGAGAAAATACAAATCTAAAACTGTAGTTCCAATATTTGGACATGAGATGTCACCTCCACATGACCACAGCACCTTGACAGATATTTTATAATGTCTAGCATGCCTTTCAATTTCTACTTCTATCCTTTGTGAGCGCCAATCAGTACATGGTCAGTTTGTTTATCAAACTGTTTCTGTGGCATTCAGGGTTTCCCAGCTATGTAATTGTATTTCACACAGAATATAGGCTGCTGGCTATTTCACCCAGTGGGGGTTGTGGGGCCCCAGGTTTGGAGGTAAGAATTAACTCACTGTGCTCAAACAAACAGCTTGTAAACAATTATCTAGTAAGGATTTGCTAAAATCTTAGGCTGAAAGTTGTAGATGTCACAGCCTAGTTGTAGACTACAACACAGTGTGCCTTCTCTTTTAAAGATGATGCAGAATAAGAAGAAAATTGTTTCTTAGTATTTGAGACGACAATTGTTAGAATACTATGGAGAGAGAAGAAGAAAACATTGGCTCATAAACAACATCCTGTCCTGAAAGCTAAGGTTGTTTGGCCATGTTAAATATTGTGGTGGCCTGGAAAGAACGGTGGTGCCCTCTGAAAGAGAGACTGTCGGGCGTGCCCTGACAAGTGCTACTTTATGTAAAGATCCTGTTGATTGATGATGATGATTTGAGACAGTAAAGTAAAAAAAGTAAAGATCCTTTTTCACGCCTTTACGGGCATCAGGCAAATGGGAAAGGTACCCATATTTTTACAGACCAATCGGCACTAGGTGGGTAATGTGGTCAGCATTACGCCGGCCGTCCTATTTCCCTAGGACATGTTTCCTGGTACCCACTTTAGGCTGGATCGACCTGCGACGCCCCATACTATGATAAAAATCCGTGCAGCCAGCAGTGGGTTTCGATCGTGGTATGTTGGAATTACGAGTTGGGCTCGCAACGCCTAAGCAGCATTTGAGACAGTG